TATCAAACTCTTATTTTTCCTTTCAGCAACATCATTTTGCTTAGGAGTATATGGACAAGTGAGTTGCTCAAGAATACCCTGAGAAGAAAGCTGAGACACTAAGGCATCAGACACATATTCTTTGGCATTATCCGAACGAAGAGCACGAACAATGATATCGAATTGTGTCTTAATCATCTGTAAAAATTGAGTAATTATAGGAAGTACATCAGACTTTCTATGCAAAAGATAGACCCAAGTACAACGGGTATGATCATCTATAAATGTCACATAATATCGGACACCTGACAAAGTAGCAACGGGAGAGGATCCTCAAATATCAAAATATATTAGGTCAAATGGCTTAGGTGACTGGTGCATACGAGGAATATAACTGGTCCTAACATGTTTCGATAGGGAATATATAACACAGTCAAGTTTACCACCAACACAAGCATTGTTCAAAACAGGAAATAACATACATAAATATTTAAAATTTGTATGTCCAAAATAGTCATGCCACAACTGAACAGTTTGTGACAAAAAATCATAACGACAACTACTAGGTAAAATATTAGCATGCAAGCTAGGAACAGAAAAAGACAAAGCAGGTGTAGGTGATGTAGGTGGAGGAATTTGTGAAACTAGAGATGGATTGTCAAGATAATACAGTCCATCTTTCTCATGTCCCCTGATAATAATCCTCCTGGTACTCAGGTCCTGTAAATAACACAAATCATATAAGAATACAATCGCACAGTGAAAATCTTTGGCTAACTAATGTACAGATAATAGATTCATGGCCAACTTTGGCGCATAAAAAATCGAACGTAATGTAAGGCCATCTAGGAGGCGGATTGTACCCCTACTAACAATAGGGGCATGTATCACATCTGCTAACTGAACCTGTGTATGTAACTGCTCGTCAAAAGTGGTGAAGTGATGGGTCTCACCTGTCATGTGACCATTCGCACCCGAGTCCAACATCTAAAGGGGAGATGAACTGGCACAAGCGTGAAAGGCACGAGGTATACCTGTAGTGGTGACAACAGCAGTAGTCAGACTCTGAGAAGTCAGAGCAGACATAAGTATATCTAATCGGGAAGTGATAGCATCCATATCACTCTGCCAAGGTGGAGCAGCAGCAGCAAGAGTAGCGGTAGTGGATGGTGGTACCTCAGCAATAGCAACAACATGGCTGCGAGGAGGCAGCTTAAGCTCTAGATGGAGCTTCCAGCAAGTAGCCCTGAGATGTCCTGATCGACCACAATAATCACAGTGACAGAAATTCCCTTGTCTGCGCTGATCTGAGGCACCCTGACGGCGCTGATCCGAGCACTACCCACCCCTGACTGAGGATCCTGAACAAGACCCTGCAACAACTGCAAGGGCCATCTGGTCAGCCGAAGGAGTCAAAGTCGCAACTGAAAATGAAGCAATACGGACTCGACGCTCATGCTGCTCAATCATCTCATACACCTCATAAAGAGAAGGAAGTGTCAACATCGACAAGATCTGAGAACGAGGTCCCTCAAACTCATCACGAAGTCCCATAAGGAACTTGTGAATCCTATTCTCTTACTCTCGAGTATGCAAGATTGCTGCTCCCTCGGACTCTATCTTTGGAATAGCAACAAGAGAACGTAGAGTCTCGTACTCAAGCCAGCGCTGGGTCAAATAGTCATAATAATCCTGAACGGTCATATCTCCCTGTCGAGCATATGAGAGCTCCTGAGAAAGCTCATAAACACGAACTCCTCCGTCCTGACTGAGAATACATCTCTGATAGTGCGCTCCATAGCTTCGAAACAGAGCTATGAAACTGGTGGATCCTACAAACAGATGGCTCCATCAAGCCAAATAACCATCCAGGAATGGTGGTGCAGTTCTTAGAGAACCACGCAGAATATCCAGGGTCGGCATCAGCTGGCTTTGGGTGAGATCCCATCAGCCAACCAAGCTTCCCTACACGGCCTAAGAAAAGCTGGAATAAGCGAGATCACTCAGCAAAGTCACGACCATTCAACAACTCTGCCATAACTTTTTGAAAGATCATGCACGGTTGTGCTGGTAATGCAACTCTGCTAGTAGGTACTGTATACTGGTCAAACATAAAAGTGGAAGTACCCATAGATGTCTCAACGGTAAAGGTGTCAACAGTAGGGTTCTCAAGTCCCTCAATAGTAGTCATATCAACAACAATACTAGGGCACCCGTGACAGAAAAACAACTCTAAGATAAATAGAGAAATAAAATAAGGGAGAACAATATACCTCCAGTCGAATAGTAGCGACAGATAAAGAAGGTCCAAAAAGATCCCAAATAATCAGGGTGCTCAGAAATCCAATAGATAAAAATAATCTACTGCATCAAGAGCAAATCATCAAATGGAGAAAAAGAGGATTCAACCCCTCATAAAAAATCCTAGATACACTGTGATGAAGAGTGCAAAGGATGAACAGTGGGCTGGGTTTATTGATTTAATATGTCGGTGGGGTGTATGTTGTTTCGGCTGGATTTATTGTTGTGAGTTGCTGGGTATGTTGTTTTCGGATGGCAGTGTATTGGGTATGGTGTGGGGTTTAATGAGAAAAGGTAAGGAGTTGATGTATGGTTGAGAAAGGCGCAATCGGCTGGGTTTGTGAGACAGTCGGTGGGGGTGTTTGTTGGCTGGGTTTGTGAGACAGTTGGTGGGGCTGGTGTTTGGTGTTGCTGAAGTAGGTGGTGTATTGGATACCTTCGATTTTGTCGGCTGGGTTTGTGAGACAGTCGGTGGGGCTGGTGTATGGTGTTGCTGAGACAGTCGATGGGGTGGTATACTGTTCGGACTGTTCGGTTGGTTGTGGCCTAATGTTTGATAGGTGGTTTATGTGGTTTGATCGAGAAGGTTGGTTTATGTGATTTGACGGAGAATGTTAAGGTTAGGGTTAGGATTAGAGTTAGAGTATGGCTCTGATACCAACTTGAAATAAAATGTGAATGAAAAAGGGATACAAACTAAGTATAGAGCCCCCGTATATATAGTCAATGAGAGTTACCATAAGCACAAAAAGATAAAAAAGAAAAACTTAATAAAATCCTAATAAACTAGACTGCTGTTATATCTCCAACAAAAACTAATTTTTCGGTATCATATTAATAACGGTTATACTATTATCATAAAAAATGATATCGTTTGGGTGGTTGAGGTTTGGAACAATTCTCCACTACAAATTCCAGTGGATCGTTTCAATGTCTCTAGGATTGAGCTTTGGTTGATGGAACATTTATATAATGGTCTTGGGGGAGGGTGGAGTGCGAAAGAGTATCACTCTTTCATTGCCTATATGTTGTGGTTCATATGGAAAAGTAGAAATAATTGGTGTTTTAATGGAAAGCCTGTGGATAATGTGACAGTCATTAGACAGACAGAGATGGTAATTACAGAGTTGCATCCTCTTCGAGCGGATGGGGCTGATACCATGTATAAGCAGGTGGTTTTAGCACCTTGGTCAGCCACTCCACCTGGATGGGTGAAGGTTAACTGTGATGGTGCTTTTTTTGTAATGATGGAACATTTCTGAAATACTCCAAGATGAAGACACGTGTCCTCGGTGTCACTAAATCCTGTTACTGAGATCACGTACCATCAGTTCACAAGTCCTTCTCTCCCGAGGTACTTTGTCACAGGGATCAAGTGGCATCCAGTACGTTTACGAACCGACACGTATCCCTCGGTCTGATATGGGTACGTCAGTCGCTATATACACCTCCCCTTGGCTCTGAGATGAACTTTTCCCTCGGGTCTGAGATGTACCTCCGTCCAGGATAGCGTTCTTTGCTCCTACAGAGGCTATTGATGTACAGGTCACTAGCCTAGGCTAGGTTAGGTTAGCTATCATGACCTCGTCTTACACAATTGGTGTCAGAAGGCACAGGAAGGCAAGGGCCACAGTCAATGGGGAATGGACGCGTGACATATTGTGTCACATCAGAGACAGAAAGACCGCATGCCCTTGCTGACACATGACTTGGGAAATCAAGCATTTAATTACATCATCCCCTTGATGAGACTGTACTAAGGTTGGACATTTATTGCATCCTCCCCGAGAGGAGTTCATTGAACAGTCGGCAGCCCGATGACACAACATTGATTGCTCGGGATCCCGAGCAGTTAAAAGAGAAGACATTCCTCATCGAAATCAGTGCGCACATTGCCTGTACCTAATGATCACCTACTGACCACACTGACAGCAATCATGAGTATTTGAGGTATAAATACTCCTCGCAAAAGACAAGGTGGGAGGCAACAAAAAACCTTTACGACAATACATACTCAGTGTTTTCTTCTTCCTCTCTCTAAAAAACTGACTTGACCGTCGGAGGGGATACGCCGAAAAACACTCCGGCGCTCTTCTAACTTGTCTTTCTTTGTTCCAGGAATCTTCTTTAACCTTACTAGATCATTCCGTTGATCCACGAGGGTCTCCCATTACCGTTCCAGGTTACCACCGGACCTCGCAGGTTGTTCCAAGCAGCAAGGTCGATCATTCGACTGACTCACTCGAGTTTACCAAGAGAGAAATCTGTTCTCGTGTTTATATTGTGCCAGATCCAACACGCACATGTAACAAGGAAACGAGGTGCGTATGCGGCTGTGGCTAGAGATCATACAGGCCAGATTATTACAGCTTCATCAGAACTTTTCTGATGTGTGTTGCCTCTGCATTGGCTTATGAAGCCTGGGCCATCTGGGAGGTTGCTCATCTAACCAATTGTGGGAGTCTTCCTGTTGACCGGTTTTTGAATCCTCCGTTTCATGTGCTGCAACAGATCTAGCAAGATGTCGTGTAGGCATAGGTTAGTTCCTGTTGCTTATTTTTTGTTGTAATTATATTTTTTTGTAAGCCTATTTTTTGAATGACCAAAAAAATAATAATAATAATAATAATATCGGATATACTAGCCATCAACTATTTTGTACCTCAATGATTATCGAGCAAACCCAAATTAATGATAAACTTCTTTAAATATCAGGTCTGGTCATATTTCCAGGCTCAAATGCAAAAAGAACATACTGCGAAGAACAAGACAGAGAAGCAAATGGCTATTGATACAAACAGCATTCAATTTTCCTGTAATACAATACCGTTACTTTCCAGGCAAGTGTTTATACCCAACTATACAAGTACTAGTGCATGATAATCCCATACTGGAGAAGAACTTGTCCAACCCGCTTATTTATCACCTCTACGACTTGGTGCATCAAGGGCAACTCGAAAATCTGAGTCCCTAAAAGCATGAAAATGGTGTAGCTTTACCAGATGAGTATCAATTTTGTAAAAAGTAATGGTCTGTCCGTCTTTCTGGTAGACCTATAAACAATTCTGTCTCTACAGCAAAAGTTTGCCCCTCCTTGGGTGCTTCTTGCTGTGTAATTGATTGTTGCAGCGGCTGTACCTCAAGCTGAAAATAAGCACTTGTGTTCAAAAATTATATGTACTCACATTCAAACAAAAAAGAAAAACAATAAGCAATGGACTTTTGGGTTTTGATTCTCTTCAATACATATCCTCTTAATTTCCCTATTACCCGTCGTGAATTCAAGTAGAACCCGCCATAATATAAATGAGTTTCTATACACGATGAATGATCTATATCTACCGTATCATTAAAACAAATGTTTATATGTTTGAAGCCCAGAACCATGTGTATGTCTATAATTAAAGAATTAAATTTCGTTTCGAAACATTTTTATCTCTATAAAAGCAAAAACGAATCATTAATTTAATATCAAAATTTCAGTGTTTCGATGTGTTTCAGCATGTTTCGATCAATGTTCTGGAAATAAATTTTTAATATTTTTCTTTGTTTCTGAAATTTTTTCAAAATATTACCGAAAAATTTTTGTTTCCAAACTCGCCAAAACTATGCGAAACTAAATTTTGATCGTTGTCTATAACAGGTAAGTAGATCAAACAAGAAAATAATAGCCCACACCTTCCTCAATTCTGCAATTTCTTTTGCTAGCTTTCTTTCCTGAATTATGCCAGGAAAAGGTAACAGGACTTTAGCATGTATTCATGTTTGCATATTTATGTACACTTTATATCACAGAGTTTACCTTTACCTTCAGCTGCTCAATCTTCTCCTTGAATAACTGATTCTGAGGAGATTAAACAGCATCGACTGTTAGTTTCGTCGTTCATCTTATTATTATAAATTGTGTATGCAAACTTGTATGTGATTGATGTACCTTTCTTGCCCTAATGCTACTTAAACTTTGTTCCAGCTGGTCTTCTATGTTTTGTAGGTCATCAATAGAGCGAGACTCCAAGCCATCTCCTAACAAGTTTCTGCAGTATGGGAGTTTTTAGAATTAAAATTTTCCAATCAGGTGTCAGTTTGATTGGAATGTAAAACTAAGAATGAGTTTGAATATATCACAGATCTGAATTCTGAACCTTTTATAGTCTTCAAGAAGCTCAATCTTCTTGGTCATGGTAGCAGCCTCTTCCTTGAAATGCTGCATGTGGAATTGTACAGATGAGATTTACAAAGATAAACTTGAAATGTTATTTTCACGGTTTAAGGCGCAATATTAGCCATTGACTCAGAGGGCCTTGAGATATATTGGTCGCCGGGTCATGTCTTGGTATTGGTTTATACGAAGAAGTTTAACATGCCAAGAAATTTAGGTCATATCGTAATTGAACAAAACAAAAAATTCAGGTAATATCCGGGTATTACAGAATACTATCAGTCCATTATTTGACGATAACTCAGTGAATCAAGATTAAGGAGACGACAACTTGGACAACTCGGCCGCCGTGCATGCATCTAGGTTTATAGATAATGTATAATGGTATCGACTTGGTCAACTTAATAATGGCCGATAATTTGAACGTTTGTTGTCCATAGTCAACTCAATATAATCTTATTTAAACTTTTTGGGAAAATAATGTGTGTGTGTGTGTTTTTAAAGATATATATGAATTTTTTGAAGAAAATCCTTTTACTCCACATCCAGAGGGGAGTGAAGTGTCTAATACATATTAACAACTAAGGAAACAAGAACTGTGAGACAAAAAAGAAAGCAATGCTGACCTGCATAGTTTCTTCAACTGCAATTTTGGCAACTCCTAGGTTCTTGGCATTCTTCTGATAGCGTTCTATTGTCTTCTTGATACTGGAACATCTCCACAAAACCACAAGAGGGCAAAAATTAATGATAACATTTCTATTTTGGGAAGGTAAATTACTTGTATTGATGTATGATGTAGAAGGGCATAGCACTTGCAAAAACACAACATTTCAACTAGTTGAACTTACGTATGCACTTTGATGGCTTTAAGCTCTGCTCAGAAATAAGGTGTCTTTTTTTTATATAGTATAATCCAAATCCAAATTCTAAGTTCTTTTAACAGCACAAGTCCCACAAAAAAGTCATATAAAAAATTTAAAAAAAAAATTTAAAGCGCTATTTGGTAGAGTGGAAAATGGGTGGAAGAAAACTAAGATGAAAAGAAAATGTTTTCACTGTTTGTTTGAGAAGAAAAATATGATGGAAGAGAAAGTTAGAAGGAATCTCTTTCCTCTTAACTCACAAAAACTTTTTCATCCAAATTCTCTAGAAAAAAAAAGAGAGAGAAAGAGAAAGTTTAAGCTATTCATGGTGACTTTATTTTTTTGCCCTTTATTTATTTCTCATCTATGAAACACATGCATGAAAGTTTCAAAAAGGAAGAAGACAACTTGCAGAGAAGCTAGTCCAGTAAACATGCTACTGTCTAGTTGAATCCCAATGACCCCCACCCACTCTCTCTCTAATTTAACAAACCCACACAATAAATTGTGACAAAAAAAATGATTTGTTAAAAAAAATAACGAAGCACGTTATTTCGATATAGCAAATTTATCTGCTACATTTATTTCAAAAAGTTTACTTGCTATATAAATTTGCTTTTTATATGTAAGGGTATAATGGTAAATTAAGTATGTACATATTTTCTTTCCTTTCATTTTTCTTTTCATACCAAACAATAAAAAATTAATTTCTCCAACTTTTCATCCATCATACTAAACAAAAAGAAGAGAGAGTTTTTCATTCCTCAAAGAATGAAAAATTTATCTCTTCTATTTGTCCATCCTCTAACTTTTCATCCGTTCTATCAAATAAACCATATTTCTGACTTCAAAAGTCAATTTACTGGAACATTTGATAAATAAAAAAATATCAATTGTCAAATCATTGTGCAACTCCTCTTTTTAAAACAAAAGGAATGCTATTTAGACATGTAAATTTGACCTCATGACGTGATAGTTGACATATCTCAATAACATTTCTCTTATTACAAGCTGGAGTTTTTATTAAGACAATATCTCTTTCTATATCATTAGATTGTACATCGCAGTCCTACAATATTATTTTTTTTCGGAAAGCATGTTTTTTGTATATATAGAGAGAGAGAGACAGAGAGAGAGAGAGAGAGATATTACTTAAATAATATATTTTTTAATTGAGGTACTAAATGTTTATGAACATTAGCTTATTTCCCAATTATATGCATTGCTTACTATATATTATTTATAACAAATTCTTAACATTGAGAACTGATAAAATCTTACTTAAGATTGATTACTTATAAGAAAGATTGAGTAAACTAATCATATGATTCTATTATAAATAATATGTAATAAAATTTTAATACAAAACCTTTAGTATTTTGCATCTTAAAAAGCATGAAAAATAAATTTTAGTAAAAAAATATAAGTAGCCTCACGTAGAATTGTTACTTTAAACTTCAAATTTTTTCAAGCCGACCCCGTCATCCCTACATGCATTTTGTGCGTTTCTCATTGTTATCTTCACGTAAGAACACACAATGCACACATAATGCAGCTAGCACAACAAACTAAGGACTTCAAGATGTTATTATTATCATGAAATCAACATTGAATAGAACATTGAAAGAGACTGCAGATTTTGCTTTGGTCATTTGATACAGTTAATGCCTAATTTTCCTCTTTTGTTTTGTTTTCTGCTCAAACTTTTCTTGTTTTCTCCCTGCAGGCCCCCCTCCACATGATTTTGGAACTAATGTAAACAATTTTCCAGCTTTGTCAGAAGAGGATGAAGCAAATGTCCGAATGTATTCACAGGTGAATTGGATTCAAGTTCAACCATTACACAATATTAGTAAATGAAGATGTTCATTTTCAAACCGAAGATACTAAGAAGAGAGAAAAAGAAGATGCCCATTCTATATATATCCTAATAACGGACCATAGGAATGATACCAAAATTGAGTGAAAATAGCCCAATTTCAGGTTGAGCATTGAAGTGGAAACTTGAAAATATAGCTCACTTCTTACTGGGAAAAAATCACTGGAATTGCCCTTATTGGACCGAATAAGAAGAGAAGAATTTCAGTTATTTCAACAATATTGGGTTTTCCACCTTAAAGCATCTTTAGCAAAAAACTCTGTAAAATTTATCTATTTTCTTCATCTTTCTCGTAATTGCTATAAAACATAACTCGTTGGAAAGCAAACCCAGCATGGTTCGAGACAAAATAGCTAGGAAGACGAAAATGTAGACAAGGGCAGGGTAGGGTAGGGTGACTAGGGTCCATTTCTTTCAATTGAAGTAGAAGTATATAAATGAAAAGGTGAAAGTGGGAAGGGGTGAGAATCAAAATATCTAGAAGCACAACCTCCCCTTGAATTTTCTCATGAAACAGTCAAGATCATGCTTTGGGTTGTGATAATTTACTTATATGTTCTGATTAGTTGGTTGATAAACAATAACCCCTATGTTATTATCAAGAAAGAATCTCAAAATCTACATTCCATGCTTGCTGTCACAGACTCCAAAATTAAACCACTTTTCTTTTTCTTTTTTTTTTTGGAGATAATCTGCTAAGATCAATGAAAGAACGGTCAAATATCAAGGGAACTCATTAAAAACATATCAATGGTACGATATGATTAAACAAAGAAAAAAAGCTAGAGACACAGGACCAATTTGTACAGCTAAAAGCCTGAGATCATTGTACTGCTGGGTCATCTCGTGTGGTACAATGGAAACAATAGACTCTTCAGGGACCCATTTCTTTAATATGCTGTTTACTTGACATAAAAATGGAAGAAAAGCGTTTATGGGTAATGATCTGAAGTTGAAGGTGAAAGATATTATAAGTACATACCTGGAACTTGAGAACTCATAGAGCTTCCCATTCGAAGAGAAGATGATGAGTGCAACTTCGGCATCACAAAGAACTGATAGCTCAAAAGCCTTCTTAAGAAGCCCATTTCTGCGCTTTGAGAAGGTCACTTGCCTATTTGTTGTCTTCTCTATCCTTTTCAGCTGAGTTTTCCCTCTCACCATTCTTACACCTGATCAAACCAAGAAAAGAAAGAAAATAACAAAGACCCAGCAAAGAAAATAATGGATTTTGTGAGTGTCTTCAAGACTGAGTGTACCAAAACACATCCCAATTGAAAAAAAAAAGAAGAAAAACACAAAACTTTCCAAAAATAGAAAGGAGTCCAGGGATTAAGGTTGATTTCTCTAACCTACAGGAGGGCAATCCACAAAAGCTTTTCTGGGTGTGGCAGATCTGAAAGGTGGGAAAGAGTGAAGAAAGAGAAGGAAAGGTTATTTGGGTGGGTAGGAAGAAAAGCATAAGAAACCCTAGAATCCGGAGGAGGATAGGGGGCAGATAATTGATTTTCCTATTGCTTTTGTTTTAAATTCCTTCTGTTTGAACCATATGCAGAACATAAATGATTATGGAAAGACCAAAACCACATCTTTTTCTTTTTTGGGTAACACTCACAAGACAAGTCGCACTAAAATAGACATCAAAATAATGATATAAAGACCAAACACAGTTACATTCAAAGCAAATATAATTATTTAATTTATCACAGGCAATGGAACCCCGCAAGGCACATAAAATCCATGCTACCCACTTTGTTTTTTTTTTTTTTTAAAAAGGCGCTCCGATCAAAGACAGACCATCTACGTCAAGATAGAATATTCATGAAAAATAAATTTTTCATAACCTGACCTCAAAAAATTGTCAAATTTTGAAATCAATAGTTAAAATATTTGAATTTATAACTCATTCTTATTATCACTTAAGTTATCCTTGAAATTCATGCTACCCACTTTGTTATTATGCAAACCTTTGTTTGTCTCACCTGGTTATACTTACTAATTTTTGGCAGCATTAATCATTTTTTTGAGATAAAATTTATTATTTTTTAAGTTTTTTTTTTTTACTTTTTTTATACTATAATTTTTCCAATAATGTTTTCATAACTTTAATGACCATAAATTTAACCTGCATGGGTAACTCGAGTGTAGTGTTGAATGTGGATGAAGCTGTAAATTTGATTGAGTTTAAAATGACCTAACTCTAAAGAGATTCCTAGTTAATTTTTAAAAAAAACCATAAATAGAATACTTTATCTGCCAAAATTGGGAAAATCTCACAGCAGATTCCTGTCGGTTGTTATTTTTGTCGATGGTGGTTGCACGTAAAGTTCACGCACTACCCGGTGACGCCAGAGTTTAAAATGAATTGTCCGTACAAGGTTTTACTCGCCTGTCAGTACGATAAAAGCAAGCCATCAGCCAATTGTGTTTCGCCAACGCACCAATTAGCAGACCTGACCTGCTTCATGCTGTCGTCCTTGTGCAGCCCAATTAGACTTTCCTTTTCAATCTGTTTAATTATTTAAATAAATTAATGAATTAATTATAAAATATCCAATTCAAATTTAAATCACATTACAATCAACTCTCGCATGTTTCAATTAAACACAGAAGATCATGAATTAAAATTCTCCCAATTTATTACAATTTTATTCAATTTCATATAATCACGTGATGAAGAAACAAAGTCTTTTTTTTATATATAATAATTTGTGAGAGGTTTTTTAAAATATTTTTCTAAACTTCCTACTACGTGGTGTAAAATGCTTGCAAATAAACATAAAAAAACAACATTGTCTTCCTCTTCCAAGCTTGATTTGCAAAATCATTAAATGCCCTGTTTGGTAATATAAAAAAAATAAAATAATAAAAAATTAAAAAAATAGATAAAACAACATATTTGTTAAAAAAAGAAAATAGGAATAATAGAAAAGTTGATTGATGAGTTTTTCTTCAAATTCTTTAAAATCGGAAGAAAAGTGGATGAAAAGTTAATTATTTGTATTGAAATGTATCTTATTTTTTATATATCATTTGATATATACATATATTATATATACATCAATTTCATATATAAATGTAATAATAAAATATACATTTATATTTTTTAAAAAAAAATTTAAAAATAAGGATTTAAAAAAATAAAATTTAAAAATACTTTAAAAAAAATTCCATCTTACCAAATATGAAAAAAAATTAATCATTTTTATTTTTCATCTATTATACCAAACATAAAAGAAGTAAAGTGTATAATTTCTACTTTACTTTCTTTAAGGATAGAAAATGTATCTCTCATATTTTTTGTCCATCCTACTTTCCATCCTTTCTAACAAACAAAGCATTAAGGAAAGTGTTAAAATGAGGCATTGTCAGAATTTATTTGTTATGAAATTAATTTATAATTAAAAAATTATTTTAAATTTATTTTTATTATTTTCTATGATGTAAAATTAGCAATTAAAAAGAATAATTTCATTAGAGATGAATCATATTAATAAAAATATTAAAAAATAAATTGTCAACCAAATACCTTTTCAACTCAATCCGAAGCTAATAAAATAGATATAAGTAGAGATAGAGAGGTTGGGCCCTAATTTTATTCTGGGCTTTCTATCAATTTGTATGAGATTGGACCTTTTAAGTCAAAATATTTTAGCCCAATTTAAATTGTAAATAAGGACCATACTTAATTTTTTTGGGGCCCTCGGCGGTTGCTTTAATGGCCTGTCATGTGGGTGGCCCCCCGTTGGGGTTGGGTTTTTTTTGGTTTAGGGTGCGGGGTGTTTGTTAGGGGAAGGGGTTTCCGCGTGGAGGGCTGATCAGAAAGGATAAATGACCTATAGGAAGGGGATTGGAGGATGGGGGTATGGAGCGAATTTTAATCCGAATCCAGGTTCATTTAATCGGATATAAATTAATATTTTAATATGTTTATCTAAATTTGATTAAATTCCTTTAAATGAATATGGATTTGGAAACATATATATATACACACACACATATTAAGTTAGATTTATAAATGAGATTGACATAAAATTAAACATAAATTATTGAATAGAATGATTAGTTGATTAAATTAGCTTGAAAGTTAACTTAAATTTAATAAAATTATTAATTTTTGTAAGAAATTATGTTAAGATTCAATTTTTTAGATTGGATCAAGTAATCAGACCGGATATCTGATTATTAACGGATACGGATATGAATTAAGATTTTGAAATCCATCGAATAAACTGATTGGATTCGAAATTCGAATTTTTTATTAGATTTGAATCTGGATAGATTCAAATTCGATCCGTTGATAACCTTACTGGGTGGTTGGCTCTCTCTCACTCTCTCATGCTCTCCTTTCTTTTGATTTAGCAAATTTTGACCAAAATTTAGAAAAAGACAAAGGGTACCACAGTTGTGAAACGTTTCATAAACCCATGTTGTGGTCAAATAAAAAATGCTCCAATTTTGAAACGTTTTCTGCATGTGTGTGTGTTGGGAGGTGGGAAGAGGGGGGGGGGGGTTTGCTAGTACTTTAGAGATGAAGAGACATCAAAGGCCAATGTTTCTGGTTCAGGAGAATCTTCTAAGCTAAGCATGAAGAGACATCAAAGCCAACAAAATTTGAAGATACCAACCAAATGTTATTAATTAGGAAGTTGCATGTCTTGGTAGCACTTTCCACGTTTGAAAAAAAAAATATTTGGTATAATTGTTACACCATGTCAATAATATCACGGAATATAATAATTTATTAATATGTAAACCAATCAGCAAATGAGTTTCATTAAAATTCATAACCACCCAACTATGTCATATATAATCATCTCTATGATTAGGAAGTGAGTTATATATATATTTTTTTATTAAATAATCATATTACCTCAATAATGTTGACACGATGTGACAGGGACACCCAAATATTTACTCCAACTTTTGGCCTTTCGTTTATGACCATGTGGGTATAGACCCTTTTGTTTCATTGAATTTAGCTGACAAGAAACAACACCTTGTATGTTACATTGAATCTGGCTGGTAAGAAGCAATCTATTTATGGTTTCGTGAAATGAAACAACGTTTTTCTTTTGTTGTCTTCCGCTTATGTTTTTGTTGACAATTAGAAGATTTGTGGTGATAAATGAAAAGGTAGTCTAGTTCTAGTATAGTTGGCATGCTTTTGATCAAATTGAGAAAGAGATTAATTGATATGTACAAAAATTAATTTGAACACCTTTGATCATTGAAGCAAAAAAAAAAAAGGCAGTCATTGGCGAAGATACGGGATCCTCAGAGGAAATCGAACTTAATTGTATAATTAGATGTAATGACAGTCCTTGTATATTTTCTATGTCATTTTAGACTTCAAATTATATCTTATTTTTTTTGATTCAACAGTTAGACGTATTCAGATTAATTTATGCACATCTCGACTAATCTTCTTCTTTGTCCAATCAAAGACAGACCATACATGTCGGGACTATAATATTCATGAATGATAAATCTCTCATAATCTGACCCCAAAAAATTAACAAGATTGAAATTCAAACTATTCATGCGATATCACCAAATGACTTTCGAGTAAGTTAAAGTTAATTATATGGGATGAATTATGCTCCTCTCCCTTACCATAAAAAATTAAAGATTCACCAATTTATTTGAATGGTCAAGATCTACCTATGATATAAATTCAATTGAATCAAATTTACATCCCAAGATTGATTAGTTGATGTTGATAGATCTTAACCACTTAAAAACAAAAAAAGATTATACTTCAATTCCGAAGTTTATTATACTAAAATTGCGCTCACCAACACCGTCTACGAGGAGTTGAAATCGTTTATTTTTCAACTACCATACGTTTTACCCGAAAATTAGAGAGAAGTCAAACTCGTAAAAGATGGTAGACCCATAATTTATTGTCTAGGTTAGATGTCATGTTCATAAGTTTCCAATAGCGTCGATTTGTCTACTACCATAATAAAAATGTATCTCATATTCAATTGGGGGTACTTAAACCAAAATTGACACATTGGACAATATAGATGGTGGACGATTAGGACATTATTTTATTCTTGTTTTGTTTTGTTTTGTTTTTTCTTTGCATTAATTTTATAATGGACCAGGTTTAGTTTTTTATTTTATTGAAATGGGATAGCATTTCTATTCCTCATGAT